ATACCATGATTTCGCCGACCAGCGTCGATTCCTCGGTAAATTCCCGTTTCTTCTTCGTTTTCTCTAGTTTTCCTCGTTTGCCCACGTCTGGAAGCTAGTTTCCGCGTCCGCCGAACTGATCCAGTGGAGTGAATGGATTGGGCTTCATGGCCTCCCAGCAGAAATTGAATACTTGATCAAGTTGAAGTAGTAATAAGGGTTTGTGGGTTCACCCTGAATGTTTCCTTCTTTCGGGAGTTAAAAAGATGTGATATTTGGATGAGAAAATTTGAATTGATGGCTGAGAGGTGGAAAGTTTAGATTTTTTCTGTGGATTTTGATCTGGTTCAAGTGATAAGTTGGGGTTTATGCTTGATTGTTCATTTCACTTTGATTTGGTTCAGGAATCCCCAATATGCTCAATGTGGTGTCGAATTTCCCTTTCCTTGTTGTCGGGCTAATCGGACTTGTTCTTTGCTATCACGGGAACTACTTTAAGCTCAGGTGTGTGACTGATTCTAAGTATTTCTGATTCGTTTGATTAGACTGTCAAATGAACAGCTAGATCTCCAGTTTTGAAGTATTCATGTTGCCTTTTCCTTCTCTTTTCTCTGATTTGTGAAGTTTGCAAGGCGAGCTTTGTGGCTGGACATGTTTCTTTGTTGGTGTGGGGGCTGTGGCTCTAGGCTCAGCGTACTACCATCTCGACCCTAATGATGCTACCCTCGTGTGGGATCGATTACCTGTGAGTTTAACAATTTTCTTCAGAAGTGGAAGTGTGATAGATAGGCTGTCGATTGATGAATAAAGAAGTACTAACTTCTGCTCTTTTCTGAATGAAAAAAATGCAGATGACTGTTGCGTTTACATCAATTATTGCGATTTTCATCATCGAAAGGGTTGATGAACGGAAGGGAATGTTCTCTCTCGTACCTCTAATTTTGGTTGGGATTATAAGCATTGCATACTGGAGGTTGGTCATTTTGTTAGTCTTGTGTTCATTTGAGAATCAATTATCACTATAGGCTTCTTTCACCCCTCTTATTTGATGTCCCCCTTTCATAGATCACAGGAACTTAAGTATGTGCTAGATCTGGTTTATGTTATATATCCTACATTTAGGTGCTCTGTTACTCTATTATGTAAGAAACCAAGTTATGATCACCTGGACACATCTATAAGTTCGGTAGATTTAAAGAAATCTGTTGCTACATGCTTAATCCCATTACAGTATGAGCATGAACGGCCACCTTGCATTGATGTGCTTCTTTGCATAAAGCACATGAATTGTAGATGTGAAATCAAATGATATTTTCTGTCAGACCTAAATCGATTATGAGCACTTTAAAATGCATCAAGATTAATCAGAATCAGTACTTGGACTTGCTTAAGTGTGAATTAAATAGCATGTGCCCTGTACAGAAGGCAGGCTACCGCCTTTATAAAATCCTTCTCAAACGTATTTCTCATTTCATTATTTAACATGCAGTTTCTTTGATGATCTTCGCCCGTATGCTCTGGTTCAGTTTGTTCCTTGCATTGCTATTCCACTGATGGCTATTTTGCTGCCTCCAATGTACACTCACTCCACTTACTGGCTTTGGGCAGCAGGTGTTTTTTTCAACTGATCGCTTCTCTGTTGCTGTACTTCTAAACATCATAACTGGTGTAATAGACTAGTCACCGTTTTTATGCCCTCGCTTGCAGCTTTTTATCTTCTTGCTAAGGTAGAAGAAGCTGCAGACAAACCCATATACAGCTGGACGCATCAAATTGTCAGTGGGCACACCCTTAAGCACCTGTGCGCTGCAATGGTTCCTGTTTTCTTGACCCTCATGCTTGCAAAGAGATCGATCGAAACCGAGAGGTTCGATTTCTTGCTGCTTTGCTACATTTCCATACGGTTTCAGGATCCATGCTTCTAGGCCTGCAGGTGTCTAGATTAGCATCATTCTCACGTCTTGTGCATTTTGTGATTTTGTTATGAATGCAGAATAAGTCTGCTTAGCATGTGGCGGATTTCTTGGACCAAGTACAAGGAGAACGGCACAAAGGTGGAGACTTACAGTTGCACTTACACAAGCGTACCAGCTGAGGAACAAGCTTGACTGGGTTGCAATCCATTAAATTCCCATGTGATACCGAATCCTAACTTTGTATGCCTCTACTATGTGAATTGCCGGCTCATATGACCATCAAACTGATCAACCAAGATACGCTAGTTGTTGTACATGAACAGTAATGAATTGTTTGCCCAGTTGGGTGAACCTTAAAATTGACGAGAAAGATATATTGTCGAGATATGATATAACTAAAATACCGCGATATTTTGGCATTTTATTCTTTTTCCCTCAATATATTGTCCGAAATGTGAAAAAGGGCCTGAAAATAAGACCAAAAATGCAGAAAATTATCCAAAATGTAGGAAAAATTATACATGCTAAAATACAGAAGGTATATATGGAAACTAATCAATAAAAATGCTAGGAAAATACAGAAAAATTAGAAAACTAATACATTTCCTGGGGTAGAAAGAAATGCACTGAGACCAGGATTGCCAGCTGACTATTTGATGTCTATTTGATGTTTGGAGCAGGGGCTTCCCAAACCTGTGGACTTCTCCATTAAGCACCCTAATCGAGCTCTGCATATCGATACTAGTTATATGGATTGAGTTCAAAACCAAAAAATCAGCTTCACCAATAATCCCCACAAGAACAAGTGCCTTTCTCAAACTGATGGAACCGATTCAAATCTCTTACTACTATAACCCGTTCGTATATCTTCGATATAAATTTGAAAGCTGTGTGGCAGTCTCCACATATCCTGAGGTTCTTCGTTATTCGAAGAACTACTCCTGGGTTTGTGTTGAGAAGACCAAAAGCTACAGCTAGCTTTTCGCTATGGGTTGTAAGGTTACGCTCCTTCTCTTCTTCACTGACATCATGCAGCACCACAGTTGTATCTGGTACATACCCGGCTGCCTTCATCCTTTCAGCCAATGCCTCAAGAAACAAGTATATTTCCTTCGACTCGGTATGGGACCTGTCCTCACCCAGGAACAGGTGAACTTTGCCATTGACCTCAATCCAACTGCAACCAGGATTCTTTCGTATTCCTCGGCCTTTAATAGCAGCCCTCAAGTCATCTACCTCGTCCCACATGCCAGCGTCTGCGTACATGTTAGACAGCAGGATGTAATTGCCACTATTTTCAGGCTCTAACACAAATAGCTTCCTAGCTGCTATATCTGCAGTATCTAGATTCTTATGCATCTTACTAGCAGCCAACAATGCCCCCCAAATGCTTGCCCCTGCTTCCATAGGCATTTCGTCGATCATCTTCTTTGCTTCCACGAATCTCCCAGCACGACCCAAGAGATCAACAATGCACCCATAATGCTCAACTCTTGGTTCCACCGAGAAAACTGGTTTCATATTATTGAAGTACTTCAAACCAATTTCAACTAGACCTGAGTGGCTGCATCCGCTCAGCAGGCCTGTGAAAGTGACTGTATCGGGTCTAACCCCTGCTTCAATCATCTCCTCGAAAGTGGCCACAGCTTCCTTTCCACACCCATGAGATGCATAAGCAGTTATCATAGTGTTCCAAGCAACTAAAGTTCTATGACTTGGGGCCAGTCGATCGAAACAGCATCGTGCATCAACAAGGCTCCCGCATTTAGCATACATTGCAATAAGCGCTGTGCAGACTGATGGGTTTGAGTCCATACCGATACTAGCAGCATAATCATGGATTTTCCTGCCGCGTTCAAGAGCAGCAGAGTGTGCACAAGCGGGGAGCACACTCATTATTGTCACCCAATTGGGCTTCACATCAGAATCATACTTCAACATCTCGTCGAACAGAGTTAATGCTTGCTCAACGAGCCCATTCTGGGTGTATCCTGATATCATAGCAGTCCAAGAAACGATATTACTGCAAGGAATCCTCGCAAACAAATCCTCAGCGACGCGAATCTCTCCATCTCTCATGTATCCAGCAATCAGAGCATTCCACGAGGATACATCTCTAACATCCATTATATCAAACAGCTTGCGTGCATTCCCTATTTCGCCACATTTCACATACATGTCGATCAAAGAAGTTCCAACGTATGTATCTAACTCCAACCCAATCCTCAGACTCAAGCCATGAACACATTTGCCAATCAAAAGATTCAACAAATCAGCACAAGACCTCAGTACAAAAGGAAACGTGAAGTTATCCCCTTGAAAGCCTGACGAATGCATCCGAAGATAAAGCTCTACACTTTTCTGGTGGCAGCCGTATTTACTATAAGCACGAATCATGGAATTGTACAAAATCAGAGAAGGGTTCTGAATCCTACCGAACAAAACTCCAGCAGCGTCGAGGTCACCAGAACTGGCGTACATCGCAACCATTTTCGCTGCGGTGAAGCCATTGGGTTCCCACCCGCGAATCGCCATGTGGGAATGAACTTGCCGCCCGATTCTCAAGAAATTACGGCCGGTCAGATGCTGGAAAAGGGGCGCGTAGAATGAAAGGTCGGGCGGCTCGTGCTTCAGAAGTGGGTGTAAGAGATTCCACAGTGGCGTTCTATACGGAGACGACTTGGAGGAGGGATTGCTCCCGACGTAATCCTCCGGCGAGACATCTGCTTCGATAGTGAAAGAACGGGAAGGATTCGGCGCAGAAAGAAGGACAGGGTTTGGTTTGGATTTCGGAAGGGCGGCTGTCGAGCAGAGGCGTTGGTGCATTTGAAAATGGCGGGAATGAGAGAACTACGGCGGATTCTATCATTAGACCTTAACTGACTGTACCGAGAGCGCTGAAACAGAATAGAAATTGACGTTTATTAAGAAACTTTGGTTTGGCACGGCACTCACACATGAAACTTGTTCTCCTTGTGTCGTATTAGACTGGCCTATATACAGCTTCCTTCAATTCAGTAGTTGGGGATCATTCTAACCATTGTTTCAAGACTTTCAACAATGAAACTGCTAAGTGATTAAGTTCTTGAGCAGAGTAGATAGATGTCTTCATTCAAACTGGAAGCTTTGGATTTTGATCAACCCCTGATACTAAATAAAACCTTGGGATATATTTAAGCTCATATAAATGTATAACAACAATGATAGAAAGGCAACCTCCTGAAAAAGGATCCCAAAATTACTTCCTATGTCTTTAAGCCTATGATCTTTGATACAAACAATCATTTTCTACGACACTCTCAGGTATACACCCATCAAGGGGAATACAGGAAATCTGGCCAGCCACATCTATCTGCTTCTGTTTGGCTAATCTACACAGCAGGCAAGCAAGGGACCTTCACGAAAGAGTAAGAATTTTATTCTCCTCAACGGCAGCAGTACTGGTGCTATCATTATATGCTGCATCAGCTGAAGACGTGTCCAAATCGTTCAGTCCCAACTCTTCGTTCTGCTCGAATGACCTCTCGTATTCCTCAACTGGATGCACCACAAGCAACCCACATTAAGAAAACCAACATGTGTTACTACAAGCCGGACAGTTTCTGTAGCAGGAGTACGATGACAGATGCCCACCGCTGACTCTAAAGTCAATGTAAGGGTATGAACTCAGCTCAGTATTATTATTTAAGAATGATGAAAACAACAAGCTTAACCCATGGAGAGATCCATCTTGAGGAACAATAGAACTCATTAAGATCAGGATGGATGATTTACTTACATGTTAGTTGTTGGTCCTCTTTAATATCGTCCGTTGCTGGAGCAATGAAAGAATTTGCCAATGCATCATCAAGAATCAAAGTCCAAGGCTTTTCAAGGTTTAGAAGCTGGCAAGAGAAACAAACAGGCAGGCATTCATTTTCCTCCTCTAAACATGAGGTGCATAAAATGAATACCGGAGGCATCCATGCTTTGACTTCTTAAGGCAAGCAGTCATTTTCCTCCTCTAAACATGATTTATGTCATAGTGGTGCATGAGACATGTTTCATGTTTCAATGAGTGCCACAAAGAAGCAAGGCACCTGAAGTGTTCAATGACACCCTGGGAATCGAATCTGGTACTTACTGGCTAAGTAGTAAGCGTCCAGAGCAACGGGACTAATTGAGGTAGTCATGTCTCAATACATGAGCTAATGAAACACCATTGTTGGGTAAAATGGGACATCACAAACCCTTAGGAATAAGGTCGCTAATGTGAAAATTAAAAAAAAAAATTGGAAGACCACGACAGTGCATAGTTCGGAGCTGTAGCAGACCTTAATTAGTCTTGATCTGAAATCTAGCCACTTGTTTTTCCTGGATTCCTCAAGGCTATCACCGAATGTAAATCCATGCACTCTCTCAAGACCTGAAACAAAATCACATGTCAAAACAGCTAGAGGCAACCAAACATGTTATATAGGACTGAATCATCTCCTAATCTTGGATATAAAAGGCTGCTGAAAAATCATTGTGGCGCAGTGTAATATACTCAGGATGGAAAGCCCAGAAAAACAACTGATGCGAGAAGACAATTATGACATCACATCCAACCACAATTCTCACTTTCACTGATTTTTGTAACCAAGCCTTCCACTGTTGTCACTAATCCTCCCAAAGTTCCACTAGTGAGTTCCAAATCAAGCTCGGGGATTGTCACACCTGCAGTATCAGACTGGCAAAAACAAGAGAAAGTTAAAGAGGTATTAATCCTTTTCTGAGCCAAAGCACCATATCAATGAGGAACTCCAATGTGATATCTAAAAGATTGAGATAAGTCCAAGTCAACTGCTTTATCATATTAAGTTAAGCAATATTAAACAAGAACCAGTATTTTCAATGACCATCATACCATGGGCTGCCACCTGCCAGTCAAACAGAGCTAACCATCACATTTGCTATACTGGGGCTGGAACCAGCAGCCAGCCACTTTTCAGACCAGGAATATTCCTGTACGTTTAACTTTTATGATTATCTATGAATTACACAAAACAACTCTGCCACAGGTGTGTCAAGATTAATTCCTCAAATCATTTCTGCTCCAACTTCTTTTATCAGGACACTGGAAACAATTATGAATGTTTTCCTCTGGGAAGATCTTTCAGCTGAATAGTAAAACAAACTGCATGTCAATTCACAGACAAGAAAAAGAAATCTAGGAGCTCTGGGTAAACCTTTATGACATCACGACTGAGGTCTTTAACATTCTTCACACAGAGTGTTATTCTCTTTCCCTTTTCTGGAATTGCCCCGCCTGGCTTCAACTGCAACGAAGACATGTATCTACCTCAATTAGGAGACAGAGAACTAACAATGGCTGTGATGGGTTCTCACACACTTCTGAATTTATGTTATCTACCTCAATTACAAGGTATTCATTCTTCATTCTATTATGTTAGAGGCATTTACAAATAAAAAATTTGGTATGGTGCATTGGTGCAAAAACCAGAAAAGAGAAAAAAGACACATGGACCCACTTTTTCGGAGTACATTTTTCAATTTGATGAATTTGAGATTGCACGTGCAATTAAACACATCAGACATCAAAAGTGTCTAACAAAGATGATGTATTTAACAAATTGCTTATAATTGCAAATATCTCCCAAATATACACCCAAAAAAACAATCTGAAAGGTAATACAGATATCATCACGAACCTCAGAACTGCGGTAACCACAGGAATCACAGGTGGATGCCATCACAATTACTTCTTGAAAGTATGGGATGTCTGTATAGTGTCAAGGTCAATCATGCTCATCGAGAAAGTCAAAAGCTGATGATTAAGCCAATGTGAGGTTAACATATGTTTCCATGGTCATACTGAATTATTAAACTGCTCACATAAGCACAGAAACCAAACCAGAAGAAATATCAAGGATACTCGTGACAAACATCCGAGTTTCGCTCCTGACAGCACAAGCTCCACAAGTTGACGGGAATGTCATCACCTGTAAAGAAGCATGAATAACAGCCAATACCAAACTTCAACTTACAAGGAAATTAAGAACGTGGTTCCCAGTCAGTAGCTGACCTCTTCTGGTGAAGTGTATCGGAACAAAGCTTCAGAGATTTCCGCACTATTACTCTGAGCAATGGCTCGATGACCAGCTACTGCTCCAATTGATCCATGAGGTTCTACTTTTCCTGAATTGGCATCATCATTCTCTGTTCTCTCAACAGATGCTGTGGCCACAGGTTCTCCAGGCTGTGTTGGATTAGGTAGATAGCCCAAAGATGCTTGTTGCTCTGGAGTTCGATCGTAGAACTTGATATTCAATGCTGGATCTGGTGATGGAGCACACCTAGTCACACAAAATGTTCTCAGAAGATTATCCAATATTAGAGGACAATAAGAAATTTCCTTCAACGTTCAACATATTGCCTTACGGGTTCTCTATAAAGCTGTTTCCAGCAGGATCATCCAAGATGATAGTGAACGATGAATCTCCCCTAGCAAAAGCTCTTAACTTTGACAAGAATTGATCTATTGCTTCAGCAGTTTCAGGATTCACTTTCTAAACAAGCACAGCAAACACTACTTTAAGAAAAGAGAAGATAATGATAAAGCATCAGCCAAAAGTGATTAATGGGAAATTGGAGACGCACCCTGCGTTCGTCTTGAAGTGCTTGCAAGCCATCAGCAGCACGCATCAAAATTCCTTCCAACTGCCAATTATAAAAGCGTCAAAATAAGAACAGAGGATTGAAACCAAGGACGTAATATTTCTGGCACCTCATGCTTAAATGTTAAACCAACATGAATCGAAGTATAATAAAACAATGGCCCACTCAACAAGTGGCTGCAACAAACATGCTTCTAAATCATTAACTGTTTGAAATGATTCCTGGTACACCATTGAGACCTATTATGAGCTTGGTTTCTCAGTAAGATGTATTTCAAATTTTCAACACTCTGAGGTGAATGTATTTTAGGTTTCTACATTCCGGACAAGGAACATCCAATCACAAATTGTTCAAAAGCGTGAATCTTGTTTCCTTGAATGCATCACCTATCGCCGGACTGACTAAGTGTTAATTTAGCCTACAGTTTAATGAGTTTAATCTTTGTTTCATGTCCTTCATGAATTATTTGACCTCAGGTTGATTTACAGTTTTTTGAAACGTAAAATACTGTGAGACCAACCAAACTACTCATTTAAGGCACCTTCTGTCGTGGTGACATTGGCTCTCAGAAAGAAACAGGTGTCGTTTCATCAAGGCGACATTATATCCTCGTAAAGCATCAGGATTCGGTGCAACTTATAAGCTTTTAACCAGTTTTTCCTGAATCTTGAGATTTATCTTTTAGCAACACTGGAGATCCAAAATCTTATTTTACTTTATTTATGGAACAAATATGAGTGTCAATCAAGAAAATGGATCACCAAGAAAAAACCTGAGCGAAACCATTGTTTTTATTAAAAAAGGCTAGTTCTCTGATGAAACATACCGTTGATAGGCTACCACGCTGCGCCTCAGGAGGAATCTCAAAGTCCAGTTCAGGAATCTGCTCAAAAGAATGAGCAAACAGATCAATATTCAAGTCAATTAGTAAATAAGAAGCAAATTTGGGATCTTAAACGATGCTACATGCAAACTATTTAGCAAAACACTGTATACGTGACTTTCGCTTCAACTGCTGAACAACTATTTGACAAACCTATATAGAACAACAGATAACAGAATATGACTACCATCGCATAGGTCCAAAATCCCCCACCAGGAAAGAGGGAGGGGGGGGGGGGGATGTTTAGTTACTGACGCATATAAAAGCAGATACCTAAGGTGTTGTTTGCCAAAACCAAGGAAAAATCATATTGAGAATCAGGTTACCTTTATGGTTGCAGATTCAGATTTCACCACCTGACGATCAAGCATCTGCATTACCAAATGTACATCACTCACTAGTTGAGCAAATCGTGAATAATAAAAATAAGACCTCAAGTAAACGCCATGAATTAGCCTTGCCAAAGATTATCACGTACATAGGGTGCAAGGGACGTACACAGAGCTGCTTTATCAGTGAAAAATGGTAAAGGATTATTAATCTCTGTAAGTCAAGAATTTTGAGAAGCTGGTTCTTCCAAGTATATAACATGGTCTTGTTAGGTCCGTATAAGGTTTGAATTGCCTTTTTAACTGCTTGAGAAGAGAAATACGGATGACAAATATATGTCCAGTCTGATGTTCGCACTAATTTATTTATGTTTGGATGTTATTGTTAGATGAAATGATGAAAGGCAAGGAAAATCCTGTGTAGCAAAATAAATAGAGCTTTTAAGCCATTGCAACTATAATCCGACGGTACAACTGAAATGAGCATAAAGGACTTTCTTATAAAAACAGTTCTACCTTCTGATTGCCTGCTGTGACATTCAAACAGTAGCAACAACCCCGTGGCTGGATTTCACCCGCAAACTGGACTTCATTATTCCTGACAAAAAGCAGAAGAAGGTGGAATTACAAAGAGTTTACCAATAGTTTGTTACTTGTATATTAGCCATAACAATCAGGTTACCTCTCATCACAATGAGGGCATTCAAAGGCTGATAACAGTATCTGCAGCAAGAGCACATTTGACTTGAGTCTACTGTTTCCTTTTGCATAGGACTCAGTAACAGGTAACTAAGTAAGGCATATACAACTTTATGTGTGAAAGGAACCTATCAGCAGGGAAATAAAATGAAAGTAGAAAAACGAAAGGAATCCTATGACTTAATCTGCCATTCGCTGCAGATCAAACCATGACTGGGGCTCGATTTTCACTATCCAATATATTTATCTCAAAGGACAATTTTTACCATACATTTCATTGGGAAAAATAATCAGAATGAAGAATACAACAAGGAGCATTGGAGCAAGTATGGACAATACCTTTCTGAAGTGAGGAATTGAAGTCAACAATAACCTTGTTACTCCCTACCAATCAAAATAACATTGCCAAATAAGGTTAGAAAAATAGACGCTACAAGTGAGAAAAAGGCACTCATGATAAACTAGATAGCAAGTAGCGGAACATGCACAACCAGATTGAAACAAAAGAAGAGCAAGGAGAGCAATAAAATAAACTTGCTTGGAAGTCTCAATTTCACCATTCAAACAAGAGAAAAAAGAGCTACCAAATTTGGACGTGGAAAGGGAGAATTCAGAACAACAAATGCTATAGTGGAATCTGTAAATTCTACGGAGCAATCTTTTATCAACATCGGTGGACTTCCAAACTAAAGTAGGAGATTATGCCTCTACAAAAATTCACACTTGTATACTGTTTAGAACAACCATTGGCACTAACAGAGGCAGCTAAATGGGTCTCTTTATTAGCCCTTTTCCAGAAACTGGTTCATTCATTCCAATTGTGAACCTACCACTCATTCCCCTAGCTTCCCAATATCAATGGTAGGAACCCAGAATGTCAATTCACATAATAGGAAGAATATAAGTATACTGATGCAATGGAGAACAAGGAAAACGAAAAGGGTTTGAGCACGAGAAACGAACATTTTGGCCGCAACGCATACATAGGCTCTCGAGTTCATAAAGTGGGGCGTCGAGGTCGTCGTCTCCAGCAGAAGCGACTGCTTCGGCCACCGACCTAACGTCCATGATTTGCTCCTTACTACGACCCGCCTCCATATCCAGTTTTGTGTCAGAACTCTGGCTAGGCTTCGTTTTTTATTGTTGCAACCGGCGGCGGCAAAAGGCGAGAGCTTTCAAGTTCCGGTGTTTTATACAAAAGGCGGAGCTTGTTCGAAGAAAACTTCAGAATAAATAGGAAGGGCCGAAGCATCCGCAATCACGGTCCAATACCCTACTCCTTGAAGCTCCATCCCGTGTTGGTGGTGCGAACAGCGACGGCGCAAGACGTATTCCGCCTCGGTCTTTCAGACGGGGAAGAAGAGAGGAAGCTGGAGGTGCGGCCCAATTTGGTGATTTGGCTGATCCTACAAGAAGTGAGGCCCAATTCTGTGATATGGCGGATCCTACAAGACTTGGGCCGAGAAATGAATTGGCCCAGCCAATAGAAGAGGAAACAGACAGCAGGCCGGCCCAACTGGTGATGGTGTCCAATCTCGGCAGCCAAGACCAAATCAGACTTGAGCCCATCAATTCTAAAGCCCTGTCCGCCCAGCAATTAGTGCTGGAGCCCACTCCGTTTCAAGTTCAAGCTCCATCACCCTCTTATGAGTTAGGTAACTTATATTGCAGTGAAGATCCTGGATTTTTATTTGACGATTTTGAAGATGTTCACTCTTTTGGATTGCAAGGAGTAGGAATGGAATTCTTTGATAATGAAGGTATGGATCAATCTACAGATACAGCCTTTTCTTGCTCCCCGTTAGGGTGCGTGGCGGATGGGAAGTCAAAAGGGAAGGCAATACTGATTGAATCGTCAGAGTCCCCAAGAGTGTACGTTCGAAGAAATACTGGAATCTGTATCCAAGAACCAGAAGAAGGAGTGGTAAATTTCATTCCAAATAATCCAGGCGAGGATAAAAACAAAGGAAAAAGGGTGGAGGTAGCCAGCCCCAACTGGCCCCAACACTCTGGATGAATGTCTACGCGTGGAATTGTCAAGGAGTGGGGAGTACCTTGACATTCCAGACGCTAAAAGCTCACCGAAATTTGTCTAAGTCCTTTTTATTTCTTTGTGAAATAATGTCTCCTAGAGATAAAGTTGAATCTTTCATGTCACGGCTAGGCTTTTCAGATTGCTTTCCAGTTAACCCTACCGGCCTGTCGGGGGGTTTAGTATTTGGGTGGACAAGAGGTACTTCGGTCTCAGTTATTGGCTCAACCCCTTTTTTCATTGCCATTTCGGTCATCAATAATAACTCCCTTTGCTACGGTGCTTGTCCTCGTTTCGTGCTAGTAGGAATCTACCTTTCATACATAATCGCAAATCGACGCTCACAACTTGAGGAGATTAATAGGTTTTGTGCAAGGTTGTCAGACCCCTTTCTAATAATTGGAGATGTCAATTGCTCCTTATCCCCGGTAGAGAAATCAGGTGGTGCCCCATGGCGCATGGACAAAGCCCGCCCCCTTTGGGACTTTCTAAATAACTTGGGTCTACTAGAAGTGAGATTTCAGGGACCAAAATTTACTTGGACTAACCGGGGTAGAAATGGTATCCTAATCGAGCAACAAATTGACAGAGCATTTGTATCCACAAGTTGGGCGTTCCACTGGCCGAACTCTTGTCTATACCATCTCTCAGATAAAGGGTCAGATCATAGACTACTGTGCCTCATGACAACCCCGGAAATGTCTAGAGCTAAACGTCTATTCCATTTTGATATTAGGTGGACTAGAACTCATGAAGCAAAACTCATAATCGACTACGTCTGGAATATACCCATAACTGGATCCCTACAATTTTGTCTATTTAACAAATTGCTCAGGGTCCGTCACGCCCTAGTCGATTGGTGCAAAGGGGGTACCTCCAATTCAGCCAGACTGATAAAAGACCTAAATTCAGCTCTTGTTGAAGCACGGGAAAATCGCATAGTGGATTGGAACCTGATACGGTCTCTGGAAGAGAGGTTAGAGGCTCAGTATAGAATGGAAGAAATCTATTGGAGACAAAAAAATCGCGCGTTAACTGGTTAACAGAAGGGGATCGCAACACCCCATATTTTCATATGATAACGACAATTAGACGTCTGGCCAACTTCATCTGGGGTTTGGAGGACTCTAGGGGTCTTTGGTGCACAGATGGGGACCAGAAATTAAGCATAGCAGTTGAATTTTATCAAACCTTGTTTCAGTCCCAGCTTACTGAAGGTATCGACGTATCCAATCTGCCGTTTGAATGTTTCGTCTCTGAAGAACAAAACCAAGCTCTTATCGATCGTATCACACCAGAAGAAGTCAAAGAAGTTGTCTTCAGTATGGGGAAAACTCAAGCCCCGGGACCAGATGGATTCACAACTGGATTCTATCAAGCATACTGGGATATAGTTGGCAGCAATGTCACTAAAGCAGTCTTAGCTTTCTTTCACTCTGGTCACCTATTACGATCTTTTAATAGGACTTGGATCTCACTGGTCCCAAAATCTGCAGAAGTTAGATCCATGAAGAATCTCAGACCTATCAGCCTATGTCAAGTAGTTTATAAGATCATAGCAAAAATCCTGGCTAATAGACTAAGCCGGGTCCTCCCAAGTGTAATATCCCAAACCCAGAATGGGTTCATTAAAGGCCGTCAAATCTCTGACAATATTCTAATCAGTCACGAGATAACTCATCATCTCCGAACTCTAACATCAGGTCAAATAACATGGATGGCTTTAAAGCTAGATATGGAAAAAGCATACGATCGTGTGGAATGGCCATTCTTTTTCGAAGTGATGAAAGAACTAGGGTTTGACCACAAGTTTATATCATGGATAAAAGAATGTGTCACAACAGTTTCCTATTCGGTTCTGGTGAACGGGATCCCCTCAAGCTACTTTCGCCCAACAAGAGGTCTTAGGCAAGGAGATCCTCTATCGTCTCTCTTATTCGCTATATGTACAGAAGGGTTTTCTGCAATGATAAGGCACACAATAGCAGTAGCCAGTAGGTTATCTGGAAGGAGTCAGAATAAGGACAAATTGCCCGATGGTGTCCCACATCTTCTTTGCGGATGACTCTTATCTCTTCTTAGAGGCCACCTCGCAATCATGTTCAACAGTTCTTTCCCTATTTCAAGCCTATGAAGGTCTGAGCGACCAACGGGTCAATCTGCAAAAGTCAGCAATATTATTCAGCCGCAACATGAACCCAGATCTAGCTGCGGAGCTAGGAGGACAATTAGGAGTGGGAAGCATTGGAGAACAAGATTATTACTTGGGACTCCCATCTATCATATCTAGATCAAAAAGAGAGGCCTTCCAATTCATAGAAGAGAAGCTCATTAAAAAGCTACAAGGGTGGAAACAGCGGGTTCTTTCTAAGGCTGGCAAAGACATTTTGATTAGAACAGCTGCCACCAACCTTCCAGTCCATGGATTGTCGTGCTTCAAGATCCCTAAAGAGAATTGCAAGAGATTGAATAGTCAAGTAGCTAGGTTCTGGTGGGGTTCAGCGGATAATGTGGATCACCCAATACATTGGGTATCCTGGAAAAGCTTGGCGCATAGTAAATTCCTTGGAGGTTTAGGATTCAGAGACTTTGGGCTTTTAACCAAGCCTTGTTAGCAAAACAATGTTGGCGAATTTGGCAAGACCCGGACTCTCTCCTGGCCTCAATTTATAAGGGTCGGTACTTTCAGCATGGTTCAGTATTGGACGCTAATCTAGGCTCGAACCCTTCATGGGGATGGCGTAGCTTATTGTTTGGTAGAGACCTCCTTCTCCAAGGGTTAAGATGGCAAGTTGGGGATGGGCAAGACATTGTGGCCTTCAAAGATAAGTGGGTCATTGCAGACAAACCCATCATCCCGTTGGTCCGCCTCGCGAACATAACTAATTCCCCAAGAGTTTCCTTCTTCATCAAGGAAAATAGAGGAGAGTGGCACGTCCCAAGGCTGCAATACTGTTTTGATCCTTTAACAGTAAACCTTATATGTAAAATCCCGCTCCCGAGATGCCAACAAAGTGATACGAGAGTTTGGCATTATACAAAGAATGGTTCATATACAGTCAAAACAGGATACCACCTAGCTCTTGAGCTCTCCTTAGCTTCTAGCCGAAAACAACTGGCCCAAATCATTGACCCTCCTATCTGGAAGAAAACATGGGACATGGTATCCCCCCCGAAGCTAAAATTCTTTATCTGGCAGTGCCTTAGAGTGGTTTTACCAACGGTAGTAGCACTCAAGTCTAGAGGAGTAAATTGTCTGGTTCGTTGCCCAGTTTGCTGGAGAAGCCCGGAAAGTCTTGAACATCTGTTCTTCAAATGCCCCTTGGCCACAAGATTGTGGTCGCTCATGGGTCTAAATGATTTCATTTCCTTGGCCCCGACTGTGAATTTCAGTCTCTGGTGGCGACATGTTATGCTTTCTGAGCACCCCCAAACCCACATTCTCCTATACGTTTGTGTATTATGGAGGATCTGGAAGTTTAGAAATAAGGTGGTTTTTGAGCATTTCCAACCTCATGCCCAGTCTCTCGCTCGTCAGTGTTTTTTCCAAGTTCGTGAATTGTCATCCTCCCTGCCTTTGGTCCCTGCTCCTCCGCCCCAGCCTTCCTCCTCTCGTTACTCGTTTTGGTCCCCGCCTCTAGATGGTTTTTTGAAGATCAACTTTGACGCTGCTGTTCGTCCTTCTGGGTGCTCGTCTGGTCTAGTGGTGCGAAGTTCAGACGGGCATGTGGCTCTGGCAGTAGGGTTTCTTCACCCCGGTATTGTTGATCCCTACCTTGCGGAACTCCTTGCTGCTAGAGACGCCATTCTCCTTTTGGTGTCCAAATCTCTGTCTCGGGTCATCGTTGAAGGGGATTCAGAGAACGTGATTCGTCAGCTTTGTCAAGGTGCTCTCTCAGACTCCATTGGAGGTTCGGTGCTTCGGGATTGCTTCCTTCTCCGGTCTTCCGTCTCTGGTTCTTTAGAGTTTAGGGCAGTTCCTCGGACTGCTAACAGGGCTGCCCATAGAGTGGCGCAGAAAGCCCTGTTACTCTCCCCTTTAGAGTTGTGTTCCTTTGACTTTGTAGGTTGGCTTCACTAATGTATTGGGTTGGGCAGGGTCTTGGTAGTTTGTATAGGTTCTCTCTTGACATTACTTGGAGAAAAAAAAAAAAATAGGAAGGGCCGACGGGGAATAAATAAAAGCGAAATTGAAATTTGTTGTAGTAGTTTCTGCTGCTTTCTTGAAGCAACGAGCCAACGACAATAAAAAAAAAATATATTAAATGCTTCTCCTTATTATTTTTTTTATCAATACTAATGCCTAAATTTCATCAAATTTTTTATATTAAACGTGTATAATGAGAGTGGTGCGTACAATACAAAGATGGATAATTTCTTGAAAATTGCTTGTATTGTACTCTTGAAAAAAACGAACTAGTGTTTTGCCTTGCCGTACCAATATTTGTATCCTATTTCATCATAATTTCGATGTTATACATGCAATAGAAAATAAGCGAGAATGTTACTAACTACTAAGATGAACGGCCTCTTATAAATTCCTCGTATTTACCTTGATTAATGTTTTGTCTTGCAATACCAACATTAGTTGTTTTCGATATCACAAGTGAGGACAATACCAAATAGCAATATGTGGTCGATTTAGTAGTTTTTTTCTATACTAGTAGAGGATTAGTGATATGTGTCTAGAGTCTAGACTCCTGTAGGTTGCAGCTGTTATCTCTGTAGATAACCAGTGATATACATTATCGATTACAAGTTTGAAGTTTCACAATATACACTGCTAATAAGGCACCACGTCATTACAACAATGTACAGTATTATCTTATATGTAAAAGCTAGCTACGCTTTATTGGCCAAACTTCTTTGGTTACTGTTTCATTCTGTGTCGTTTAGTGCCCATCGGTGAAAGGGCTTTGAGAAATAGCTTCCCCATTCAGCTCTTCCACACTCACCTACGGAGCTCTCCCTGCAAATCTGCTGCTGTCCAATCTTCCTCGCCCTGCCATCCTTTCACTGTTGTCTCTAACCTTTTCCGTATTTCAAGTCACTTTTGTTGCTCACACACGACACCGCTACCGAAACCTCTTCCAAACACGCTAGAGGCCATGAATCGTACTGTACCTGCTCTACTTTGCTGAGCTTGATTGGCCCTTGGAGCCGAATTGCTTGGTTTCGTGGTCCTCTCCCACCTCAGTTCTGTGGCCTATTTTGTTTTTGCGTTCTCTCCAATTCTCTCCCACCCCTGTCCAGTTCTCGGCTCCTGCATATGGATGGCTGGAATCCCCTGCCGCCCCGACGGATTCAACGAGCACTCCACGTTGGTTAGTTCTCTCCTCCTTACTTCCTTATGCACATCGTCTGTCTCTTTCGTTTGCCTAACTCCGCTGTGCTCTCCTTTTCTGCGGGTGCTGGTGCAGTGAATTGCGCCTAAGCAGCTGTCGGCCCATCTCAACAAGGTTCTTGCTATTGGGAGGGTTAAGAACTACGTGGCGACGGCGGGAAGCATTCTTGAACATCTATTCTCGACCTTGCCTGCAAGTGGCGCAGAAAGCAGTTTGGTGGGTCCTTCTATCTCCCTGCACCACTCTATCATCCAACCTTTCATCCATATCCCAATTTCCTCGGACGTCCTAGCGAAGAGGCAGAAATCGGTTTAGCGACAGGGAGACCAGCTGCAACTTGGCTCACTTTTGTCTCTCTTTGAGCTTCAAATCCAACAATGTGTAGCCAAAAAAGATCCATTGGTAGAGGTTTGACAGCAACCCTTATCAGCTTAGCAACCTCTTGGTTAAAGGTCTATGCATGGTTAGTCTGTTCACAGTTAGAAAACAGCTTCGTTTGCAGCATATGTTGGTTTGAAGCTTTATTTGAATGTGTTTATATTGCTTCAAGTCGATTTCAATCTCTTTGTATTTATTGTAATAAGTCGATTCCACGGGAGTTGCTCTTTTTAATGTGATAGTTGCTAGACCATTTGTCATTATGCTATTTTAGGACTTCTGAATGCTCCTGATCTGCTAAAAATTTGAATCCAGTTTTGCTCCGGTTAAACCATTTGGAAAGGGGAAAGGGACCAGTGTGATGGCTTCTTTATCATCTGTTTATAAATCTGTCACTACAGCCGAAGAGGTAGCAGACAACATGGTAAATACACTTACTATCAGAAATCTGAAACAAGCACTAGAAGAAGAGAAAGTTGCCCATGCTTCCCTTTACCAAGAGTTGGAGAAGGAGAGAGCTGCTGCTTGCAGGTTGCAAGTGTCGCTGATGAAGCGATGACCATGATATTGCGGTTGCAAGAAGAGAAAGTGTCATTGAAGACGGAGCTGAGGCGGAGTCGTACAATGATGGAAGAAACGTTTTCCTATGATTAAGAGGAGATGAACGTTCTGCAGGAGATCCTTATCAGATGGGAAAGGGAGATCCCTTTCCTTGAGAAGGAAGTCTAGGTTATCATCAGCAGTTGAGCCCACCAGCAAATGTGGAGGTGAATGCCGATGTGAGTTACTATAGCATGCCAGTGCCACTACCATGTGTCGAACTCACTCACTCACTAACAATAAACTTTCTGTTCTGAAAATTTGTACTCAGGGAAGGAGAAGATTTGGAGAATGCTACAGCAGCTTAGCAGCAGAAGAAGAAAAATCAGGATTGACTTACTTACAGTGAGGTGGAGAATAAATTCTGGAAGGAGGGAGAGAGAGGTGAAGCAGAAGACTTGCTAGAAGAGGAGAAAGAGCCGCCAGCAGCCCCCAACAGGTTCTTGGCTACTCCTTGACCTTCGAAGTTCTGGTACATCCTCTCATCACTGATTCTGCTGTTGTTTCTGTTTTTTTAAAAATGAATGGAATGGAATGCAGCAAAAGAAGAAGGAAAGATGGGTTGTTTTGGCGGTCTGGGTTATTGGAACTGAAAGTTGGGATGGGGTATTCATGTGGGTATATATTATACTATTATAGAATGTCTGCAAGTTCTTAAAGATACCGTGCGAGTTGATAACGACCTAAATTTTATAAAAGGCCAACAGTTTCTCCATTAGCCAATCTGTCTTTCGTGTGGAATATTTGGTTGATCATTGTGTGTGCTGCTTTTTCCAATTGCAAGGTATTTCTTCGGTGTAATTTTGGTGAAGAATTTAAAAAGTTCATGAAGAGTTTACATAGGGCTTGAGTTGACTCTTTAGTCTTATGCTCTGTAGATTATCATTATGATTGTAAGTTGCCTTGCATAACAAGATGTCTAAATTTTTAAAGAAAAATATGGTACTTGCTTTCTATATATAATTTTTAATTATTTTCGTTAACACTATAGTGTTTTGAAATATACTAAACACAACTAAATCTCCTGTGGCGTAGCCACGGGTATTGATACTAGTCACTACTAAAAGAGACATCATACCACTACTAACTAACCAGCGCAGCGCAGTTCAATAACCGGAAATCACTACTAGTAAGGCAGCATATCACTACTGAAAATGTACAATGCCACTAGCAGAAAGACATCATATCAGTACTAACTAACACATCATCATTATTTCAATACTGAAAATGCACCATGTCATTAGAATCCAACAACCCCCTAATGTCTGATCACTGGTGTGGCTCCTGCGATGCCTACTTTCCTGACAGGGGCTGCAATTTTCAGGCTAGGGGGCAGCCGGCAGGGCTCTTCTGGCGTCTCTGAAGGTTAAAATGAACCCGATCTTGGTCATTAGATGAAAACAGAGAACATTATTTCAAACGACAGTGTGTTTGCATTTGTCGACTTTGATTTCATTGAACAGAAGAAGATTGTAGTTTCCTGTTTACATCTGGGAAAAGCTCTCGGCGCTTTGTCATTGCAAGGTGGTCACCTCTAACCACTGCCAAGACCTGCAATGCCAAGGAAGCCAGATGAGTTTCTTTCTAGCGGCGGAACCAGGAATGCATTTAGGAACTGCATTTTAGACAACAAAAACAAATTCCCACCTGGCTCATTGAGAGGCAGTGGCCAGCAGAAGCAGAAGGATTACTCCTCAGGCAAAGCAAAGCTGCATTTACCAACTGCTGAATCATCCTGCTATCGTTCATCTCCTCCACCACTCTGGGATCCAACACATCGTCTATGGAACCCTTCTCCAGAAGTGGCAGTGCCTACAAACACAGCAACAGCAAACACATAAAATGAACTACCACAGTTTGGTACGATTTCCCGAAGAATATACTCATTCAATCATTCTTTCTCACCCAGTCAATCAGGCTTTGTCCCACGCCTTGCCTCTGGAACAGCCGGGCACTCATTCCGCTGATGAGCTCAATCAGGAGCACTCCATAGTCGTGTATGTCCACAGCTATCAGTTCATCATGCTCCTCATTTCTCCGCCTTCAACCCCACAGGCCACAGGTAAAGGTAAGGGTAAAGAGAACTCTTCACACTGGAACAAGTAATGAACCATTCCACCGTAAAATGGGGAAAAAACCTTACCATGTTCTAGAGTCAACATTACTCGCCCCTTCATCTTTAAGGACTCTAGCAGACGCAAAGTAGGCAAGCTTGAATGACATTCAGATGACACACAAGAGCAGTGACAAGTTTAATCCACTAAGTGAAACCCATGAACAGATAAATCATGAGTTGCTATATGTATATTGTGCAAGCCTTACCATGGTAATGGATCCACAAGATAAGCTAACATAAGAAGAAGAAACAGAGAGGTGAACGATGGCTCCATCAGTCACACATTCTTCATGAAGATACTGCAGGCTTCCACCAATGTCCAGAGCAATGTGCCACCTCGCTTTCCAGGGCAAGTTCTTGGCCAAATCATCAACTACAAATTTAAAGTTACTTTAAAAGCTCAAAAAATATGCTAGCTCTTTCAAAACCCCAAGATTTTTATTCTTCTTCAGAAAATTACCTAGAAGGTTGATTTCCAGATTACCCATGCAAGGGTAGTCGAAAAGCAAGAACAAGTTGGTGGCAGTGCAGCAGTGTCCTACAAGGTTCAATATATTCCTGTGGTGGATCCTGGAAAGAATCTTCAGTGTTGGCCAGAAGCGTTCATCGTTTCCTGCAAAAGCTCTTACCAGGACAGGACATCCCTGGAGCATCCCTTCGTATACTCCAATGCCATCTCGCACTTCTAGAACAATGTTCTCTTTAGAGAAACCATGAGTTATCGCTTCAAGTTCTGCTTCTGAAAAAGCTCGAGGAAATCCACTTCTCCATGATACTGGATACCATGCAGGGCTTTGCCCTGCTGATGCTTGCCTGGATGCTGTTGATGATGAGTCATCATCATGCGGAACATTAAGCTTGTTACAAGAAGCAGCACCAGATGTTCCACCTTGTCCATTTCTTGATGGAATCAGAGTTGCCAGATCATTTCCCTTCATCGCTGCAATATTGCAGCCTACTTCATTGTATATGATCATTTTATACTTCTTCAAGTAGCTGCACAGTGACCACCACACACATTAGAACTATCACTCAACATCTCAAGAGAGGAAATCATGTGTTCGCTTTAGCTATAATACTTACTGTTTTTAAGTTTTAAGAGAAATGAAAAGAAAAGTATGTTTGGTCGATTGGGTTTTAGAAAATGTTGAGTTGCTGGGATATAATATAATATATTAGTAAGAAAATGTAACTGATGGGATTGTGAAGGATTGTTTCATAATAAAGAAATTATTGAACTTTAGGAGACAAAAATTAAGGGTACGACCTTAAGAATATAATCTATTTTGCAATTTCCAAGGAGCAAGTTGGAAACTAAATTCATTTGTGATTGTCTGTTTGTGATACTAATTGTAAACAATTGTTTTAGAAAGTTAAAATTGAAAAAAGTGCTTGTTTTAAGTTTTAATTCAAACTGTTTCTGAAGTTACTTATCTCTTAGCCATAAGAATCGCACCCAATACATAATCCACTCTCTTCTAGAGTCCCTGAGTCTTGAGATGATATAACATGATTATAAGCTCAAATGGCTAATATATCAAGGGGGAGAAGAAGGTCGGCTCACCTATCTAAGATAATCCAACGAGGATTTGAGTTCTGAGCTTGTTCTACTGTGATTTTTATAGGGCAACAGCCAAATGTAAGCTTGACTTCCAAGTTTACCTGCATAGTTAAAAGCACTTGTGTCCAGTAAAATATGACATGGCATTTGGGTATTCTGGGATATGTTGCTGATGAGAATGAAAATTAAAAAGAGTATGAACCTCATTCTTCTTGCATCGTCGATAGAATGGCTGGAGTTTACTCTGACACTGTTGTTTCTTTCTCTCAATTTCTTCTGCAAGTTCCTTGGGTCTTGGCTCTTGTCCTGTTGTTGAACAATCTATTCTTTCCCCTGAAAATTATCAACGGAACTCCAGAAGAAAGCACCACCTTGAACCGCAAACCAATACAAAAAGAAGAAAAGAGTGGAGAGCCATCTAGAAAGCCAAAAATTTGCTTACAAATTGCAGAGAAGCCCATGCCCATGTTGAACGGGAAGCAAATGTTCTTCACTCCACACCCACCTATAACTCCAAGCACAATAACATTATCTCCCCGTCGAACCACATGCTTGAGAGCCCAATCCATGGCCTCAACGTCGCGCTTACTTTGATTACTGTGCATCACAACAATCACACTCTCCCTTGGTGCTAAAGATTTACGAGAAGCAGCACCTTGCCCCTGAGGAGCCATTTCTTCTTGGCCAAGTTTGGTAGACAACAGAGTAATGGGTATGAGTTTTGAGGTATCAACTTCATAAAGTCAGACAGATGGAAATATAATAGGATCCACCATAAACAGCGAGTGGAACAAGGTGGCAGTTTAGTTATCAACTACTTCCCTCGTTGCTTCCCAAGAGCACAAATGTATTTTTGCGCTGGGAACATTCCAAAAAAATTCACATATTCATAGGAACACAATTATGAGTATTGATGTATCCTGATTCTCGACGGTGTTGATGGCACCCGTGTCTTTTGTTTGTTTCCTCCTTACTTGCATCTCAAAGAGCTAAACTGTCCATTTACTGAGACGACAAACGATGTCCATCCAGACACAGATAGATTAGGTTCCCAATACAACACTTCATGACTCTCTCATACAACACTTCATTGAGAACAAGTAATTGCAACAACTCCAAAATACAACACAGATGAAAGCTATCCCAGCAACTTGCTTCAACGGCAGAAGAGGTTTAGAGAATCGGGATATGGTTTATTCTTACTTGCCATTGAGCTTCTCAATCACAGTGATAAGCCCTTGAGTTCCAAGCTGTCCATTCCCATTGGCCACAATCCCACTGAAGAGCTGCTTAACCAGAGCAGCACCAGGCAAGACAGGGAGCTTGTCGTCGTCACTCTCTTCCGCGACATCTACCCCCATTACCAAGTCCTGTCCTTAACCATATACTCCGCAAACCCACCTGGCCTGAAGTCCCTCCCGATCATTCTCTGCCCAAACAACTCCATCACCCAGCTGCTCCTCACTGCCCTTCACCGTGCCCACAAACTTGTTCACATCCAACCCAGCTTTCTCAGTAAAAACCAGCCCTTCGCCGGCAAGATGTCCCCTCTCTCTAAGACAACCGATCGAACATCTGATGAGTGTCCCACCATGGTAACTACCACGTCACTCGATTGAGCAACGGCAAAAGGAGAATCGGCGAGATGGGCCCTAGAGAGAGTAAAGGCGCAGCCTTTGACGGAGTCCGGCCGTAGACTGTGACAGAGTAACCGGGGGGCAGCAGACGAGAACCCATCGCAGCACCCATCCCGCCGATGCCGGTCCAACCAACGCGTGTTTTTTAGGGTAAGATGGATTTTGGGTCTCCATTTCGCTAACGAATCCTACTAATCGATCAAGGCTAGCAGAGAAAGAAGTTCAACATCCGCACCTCCAAGAATCTGTGCAATGGGCATCGGTAACTGACAAAAGGATAATATGACAATTCCACCCTCAACTATGTACGTTTATTATTCAAGTCCCTCAACTATTTTTGTTTCCTACACGGACTTCGTTATTTTCACAAATTCCCAATCGAGCCTCAAGTTTTGTTTCTTACAACAAACAGAAAAGAAAAGCTACACAGAAAATCGTTCGAGGATTAGTTGCTGAGCTCCATGAACAAGCTCTTCAACAACTTCCGACGCCGTCGAAATCTCCTCAATGAGACCAACACCTTGACCTGCATACATCGCCATGCTCTCAATGTCACCCGTTGCCGTTGCATTTGGCACCGCCCCGCCAAACCTACGTATCTCTTTCTCCTACAAAACCGTAGTCGAAGTGGTTAACGAGTTGAAATTTGCACTTCCAAATCTAAGAAGACAAAAATACCTGAAAAAACCATACCTGTCCATGAATAACAGTATGTCCAATAATGGGTTGATCGAGTTCAGTAACATGAGGAAGGAGCGACTTCCTCTGTTCTACGAAAAAAGGAGTGACCAGAGCTCGTTGAGGCGCGTTCGGCCATCGAGCTCTTCCAAAGACGTCTGTGTACTCGGTTTGATCCAGCTCCACCAGTTTCCTCTTGTACATCGGATGCGCATTGCTTTCCTTAGTCGCAACAAACCTGGTTATACCCACAATCCATCATCATCATATGACTACAATCAGACAGAAAACAGATTGCAGACTTGTCTGAGATGGATATGGTTGGTGTAATGTACCTGGTGCCAAGGCAGATACCCTGAGCTCCAAGAGCCAGAGCAGCAACATAGCCACGAGCATCCACGATCCCACCTGCTGCAATTACTGGTATCCCTTTGTTCTTCGCAAGATCGACCACCCTTGGCACCAGCGAGATTAGCCCTTCCTGTGTTCGTCGACAAGTGTACTATAAGCAACTTGATGCGTCAAAAATCAGTTAATTCAAATAACTCGAGTGGCTGGAAGAGGTTTGATAACGGATCCTATATCATACACTAACATGATGAACATATGAGATCTATTGAAATGCTTAGATGGTCTATGTGCTGCAGTACTTATGAAACCATGCCGACGATCCGACAAGAAAATCTCCCTGGATAAGCGACTTTAGCAGTATAAAACGGTTAAACCTTAGTTCAAGCACAATTTCAACAGAAATAATCTACGGTTGATTTTTCCGGCTGTCCAGATAGTACAGGTTAATGTTACCTGGCCAATGACATGGCCTCCAGCTTCCCGGCCTTGGACGATGATCGCATCGACGCCGGCTTCCACTGCTTTCCTAGCACCTTCAACAGTCCCAACCTTCCATAATCAAGCAGTTCAAAGTTGAAACAGATCAATTGCAAGAGAGCAGTAGTGCAGTACTAATATTCAGTTGTGATAGTATGATTTTAAGTAGTAATTCACCTGAGGGACGACTTTGACGCCGGCGGCGTGAGCACGATCCACGAGTTCCCTGGAGCAATCCCCCCAATAAACTTGCAGAACCGCCACCTTCTCTTCCAGTATCGCTTCCAGATTCTCCTCGTGGGGAAAGGGCAGTACTACTCCTATCCCGAACCCTTTTGAGGTTAGCTGCCGAGTCCTCCGAATCAGCTCCCTCACGTACTCCGGCGCCTCCTGGATGGATTAAATTGATTCGATTAGTCAATCTATGAACATGGTAGTCCATTTAGCTAATCGACAAAAAGGGGAACTGAGAGCAAGTTTTCTGTAAGAATTACCCAGTCAGGAGCTCTGAGGAGGCCGAGTCCCCCGGCGTTTGCGACGGCGGCGACGAGCTCCGGTCCCGAAATGTCTGGACCCAGTGGCGCCTGAACGATTCCATATTCGAAACCCAGTACTCCTCTCCACCCCATTTGCTTGCTAATTCACGTTCGTGATCTCTTGATTGTGTTGTTTCCCGGGTTCTGTTATTCGCGCGTTTGGCCAAATTATAAGTGGGTTTAGATTCAGAGGCGAAAATGAAATTGGATTGCTCATCTGTTTTCCAATTTTCCTTTTTCCCCATTCTGCCGGTGGCCGGTGGCGGGCTCCCTGTACGTATTATCGATTGCTTTATTATTTTTCTTTGCCCCGTTATAGATAGAGTTCAAGAGTAAGTGTGCTACTGAGCCATCACTCAGTAACTCGGCGGGAGGCACTCGCTGACTCGCTTTCCCCTAAATGTTATTGGCGGGAAAATTGGTAAAGATAGATTGAACGATAGCAGAGAAACTAGCGATACTTACTTACTGCAGAATCCCGAAACCCTCCATCCGAGCAGAACTTTCGGAGCCACAATGTCATCTTTCGATTGCCCGCAATTAACCCGTGAAGAGATACTCGATATACTGACGACGGCCGGGATTGCCGCCACTGATAGCGATCTCAAAAAACCTACTGCCGGTTTCGTCCACCGCCTCTACTCCGATCTCTTGGCCGTTCTCGGCGTTCCCGACGCGTAAGCTTCCCTTCCACTGTGCATTTCTGTCTTCTCGCTCGAAATCTGTGTTCAGCCATAGACTGTTTTCTGATTCCTTTGTTCTTGTTTGGTCTGTTCTACTGCTGAATTTCGCCAGGGAGGACCCAGGGCAGGTGGAATTCGACGACCTCGAGCAGCTCGAGTACCCCCCTGATCGTCTTGATCGTGACGAGAAATGGTTTCAGTTAATGAGTGTTTATAACATGATACGGGAGGTTCTGGGTCGCATCCGTTGCCCGCTTCAATTCACAGTCTACGACCTTGTCAAGCCAGAAAACAGAAGAACCGAGTTTTTCATTGGTTCCATTGCTAATTTCTACCTCCACAAGTACGTTGGTAGCCATGTCTGAATCATATTTTGTTTCGTCATATGGGTTGCAGAAAGTTCGAATCTTTGCACATAGAGCTTCGTGGGAGTAATTTGTGCTTTTTATTCCTTGTATGGAAATCAGGGACTCCAAGATGGAGATGGTCAAAGGTATCATAGAGGACACTACATGCCTTGTTGAGCGGCTTAACGAGTTGGAGACTGAGAAATCCAAGGTAACCTCAAAAAGAACTTTTGATGTTTGATGTACATAATGCTAAACGTTTTGCTACTTCAGCTGGATGCAGAAATTGCTGAATGCAACGCTGCAAGAGAAATCGAGTCACCAGTTGTTCAAGAGCTGGAAGCGAAATGGGAAGAGTTGCACCAGACCATTGCCAGCCTCAACAGTCAGCAGAACTCACTCAGAGCTACTCTAAGTAACTTGAAGGAAAAGGCTGGAGAGATAGATATGGAGGTGGGTTCTATAATGACCCTCCTAAATCCTGATATTTTAACATCCTTCTGAAGTAGAAGAATCAGAAATAGTAACCCGACGGTGCTTTCTGTAATGTCCCTGATTTGCATGCAATAGTTGCTGATACTTGGAAGCTGGAAGATCTGGTTTTCCAGAATCTTAAATTCTTCATTGTTTTTGTCTATGATCTCTTGCCATGAAGCTTTTTTTCCTTGTATTCTAGACCAATGTGGATTTATCTTCATTGATTTCCAGTCACATTGCTTACCTTCTTCTCCACCTTTCTGTTTGTCATTTGTATAAAGCCTTATCCTCATAGAATCCTTTCCTTATCTTTGTTCTCGCCCTCGACTTCCACTCATCTGAGTATGGCGATATTGAGTATTCACCTTTGGAAATAAGTTTCAATCCTTAATAATTTACACCCTTCCGCATGGTTGTCAAAATGTGAATTGGTGCATTGGGGTGTTTCCATGTGGAAAGGTGATTTCTGTGCACATGTAGACAGGCAGATAGTATGAAATGTGTATTCAGTTGCTTGCTGGTCTAATTTTGATTTGTTGGTCTTGACTAATGCATCTTCAGTTTGGTCATCAACCAGATTTCAAAGTCTGAGTTTGATATGATTCAGAGCCGGGAGGAGAATGCAAATTTACACTCTATGATTGTTCAGTCTCCAGATAAGCTGCAGGTATGTTCTCTGTGTTTCACTCTTTAGAAATGGTGATTGATAAAAAAAGTTCCGCTTGTAGAAAGTATTTTATCATTAATCTTAAGGCTGCAAGTGGATGCCATTTCTCCAAGTTTATCTGCTACTTATAGTACTAGTAAATTGCATATTCCTTGGTGATGTAGACTCAACGTAGTTGAATCATAACGCTTAGCTGAAACAAATAGTTCCCACATGTCATGATGTTGCCCTGTTGCAAAGTTCGCTTGGTCCGTGCTTGACTGGGGATTCTTATAACCAAACTAAATTGAAGGATTTATTGGGGTGATTGCATCTCGTTTCAGAAAGTCTAGTGGTTTCTCTTTGTCACTTACTGACTTGCACTAATTGTTCAAAAGAAAGCTATAGAAGAGAAGAGATCCACTCGGGAAGAGGCAAGGAATGCTGAAAGGCTAGCAATGCAAGCATTTCAGGATAAGACTTTGGTTCTCGAAGTCTATTCAAAGGTACTTTCCTCCTGGAGAATTCAAGATCATAATTTATTTGCAATTTGATTGGTAAAAATTCCACTGGTTCATCAAAGGATACATCTCCATGTAGCTCATTTGTTTGATTTAAATAGATTATCCCTTTTCTCCAGGCAAAGAGCTGTCTTAATTTTTGTAAAGCCTGTAATGGCAATCACAAGCAACTAATCAATGCTTACTTTGTTGACATCTCTCTCAGACTTCCAAGAAATTATCAAAGCACTATTCTCAGATGCAGGCTATACATGAGCAGGTACGCTAGCCACATTTGGCTCAAATGTAGAACTAGAAGTGGAATTAACTTTTTGCCTTAATTCATTTCTAAACTGTCCAAGTACTCACTGACCCTCTGCTCCAAGCAGATGAACTCTGCGAAATCAATTGAGAAAGAGCTGAAAGCTCTAAAAGCAAAGCTTAGTGATGATGGAGTGACGGATAAGTCACTTGCTGCAACAATGATGGAACGTCGAGGAAAAGGTACCTTTCTCTTCTCTCTCTACTGTATCGTATCTATGTTAATGATGCATTGAACAGTTCAGGCCAAGAGTGTATCAAATCCTTTTTCAGCACAACAGCTTGCTGAGTTGAGGAAGCAATTGGAGAAAGAAAGAAAGATGAAATTTGAAGATGCCGACAAAGAATTACACAGTAAGAAGCTGGAAGTTGAGTCCAGGAAACGTGATCTGGAGGAAAGGCAAATGAAAGTAGAAGCTGTTCTTGGGGAGGTACTGTGTTGTCAGTTAGGAGCATGCTTTTCTGCTTTGGCTGAGGCTTATCTTAATACTAAGGTTGTACTATTACTCCACATAATGAAGACTTCTGATTAGCCCTTGATGTTTAGGCGGATGCCATAAATTCAAAGATCAATCTATCATATGAAACTGGAGCTGCTAAAGTTCAGGCCTTGGATCAGAAATGTACAGAGCTTGTGGAGCAGGTGAGACATTTAAAAGTATATTCTTAGTGGCATGTCAACAAAAGTGTATACCTTCTAAAGGCATCTTCTCACTTGTTTTTATCAACCTTTGCTTTGGTTACAGTTTGAGCGGTATCAGAGCTCTCTAGGTGATGTATTGAAGGGATATGGCCGCAAGCCAGCGTACTAGACGATCCAGAGAAATTGGGGTGCAAGTGTGTTTTGGGGTACTAAGAAAGTGCTTTTTTTTACTTATGCAGCATGACAGGCTGTAGTAGGGTACTTGTACTCTTTAATATCTACCAGATGAATTGTTATCACCATTGTTAGTGGTTAGTAGAACAACACTGCAGAAAGGGCGTATGATGTTCATATTTCTTTCCTCGTACTAATATGAGTTGAGTTATTAAATCATTCAACATTTGTAGCATCCATCTTTAGCGAAATGTGAATTTACAAGTGACATCCCTTTTTCGAGTTATATATAAGTTGCAGGAGATAGGCGAATATGGAGTATCCCACCCTGTCTATTTTGTTTAATGTGCACCTAGGTTACAAGTTGGAATGACATTGAGATGACTATCAATGCAACCTTACTCGTAAGATTTCTTTCAGCAATACTAGGCCAAGTTCTGGCAATTTCTGAAACTTATTATGGGTGGTTGGATGAGGTAAGGGAATGTCTCATTTCTTGAATGTCAACTATGGATACTGCGACACTCAACATTTGTCCTAAATATCTTGTTTTGATGAATGATCTCACCATTTTGTTCTGCATTTTGAGATGAGGATGAAGAGGGAAAATGTGCTGAATTCAAGGTTTGAGCTTACTAGCTCTCTTCTTGCAGTGAACTCCACGCATTTCCAGTTCAGTAGCATAAGCATCGAACTCGAAAAGCAGCTCAAAACTCATGCGCAAATATGGGATGTAAAGGAACCAAAACAGTTGCATTCTGCAACTTCCTTCTTCCTTTTTGTCACGCTTATCATATTTTTCCCGTGGCAGTAATTCAGTTATAAAATGAAATCCAACTTGAACAGAACCTGACAAAGAGCCCATCAAAATTTCAAGCTTTCCAGCAATGGGAACCGATATGTTATTACTGTTCAGCGATTGGTCTCTTTTTTATTCTGTTACCACCATCACAGAAACAGCAGAACATTCTTCCATCATCTTCACCCACTTCATTGAAGCTGGGGCAGCTCTTTTGATGCTAGGATTTCTCTATCTTGCCTTCAGAAGCAACAGCACCTCCTCTGTCTACCTCATAGACTACACATGCTACCGCCCACCAGATCACCAGCGGGCACCTGTCCCCAACTTCACAGAGCATATAGAGAGAACAGAAGGTTTCAGTAGAGAGAACAGAGATTTTCAGCAAAAGGTTCTTCATAGGTCAGGGATAGGGGACGAAGCATACATGCCGATCTCGGTGCACGAGCTCCCTCCCAACACTTCTTTCGACCCATCCCAACAAGAAGTGGAGCAAGTCGTCTTCCAGGTGGTGAAAGATCTTTTCTCGAAGCACAGGATAAATCCAAAAGGGATCGATATCCTGATATCAAACTGCAGCATCTTCTGCCCCACTCCATCCATCACATCCATGATCATCAACAGGTTTGGACTCAGAAGCAATGTTAAAAGCATCAGCTTGAGCGGAATGGGCTGCAGCGCCGGGCTTCTCTCGATAAGCATGATTGAAGAACTCTTCAAAGTTCACAAAAATTCACTTGCTCTGGTTCTCAGCATGGAAGCTGTAACCCCAAACGGGTATCGGGGCAGAACAAAGTCCATGCTGGTAGCCAACACGATATTCAGAATGGGGGGAGCTGCCATTCTGCTGTCGAACAAGAAACAGGACAAGTGGAGAGCCAATTATGAGCTTCAGCATCTCGTCCGAACTCACATGGGAGCAGATGAACAGTCCTACTGCTCAGTCGTTCAGAAAATGGATGAGGAAGATGTTGTTGGGGTTTCACTGTCCAAGTCACTGTTACAAGTGGCAGCTCGTGCTTTGAAGATTAATGTATCAGAGTTGGGACCCCTCGTGCTGCCTTACTCAGAACAGCTCAAGTACTGTTGGTTAGTGACTTGTCAGAAAATCTTTGGGAAAGGAAGAGCAAAGAGGGAAGCAGCTGTGGTGGTGCCGAGATTCAAACGTGCTTTCAAGCATTTCTGTATCCATGCTGGGGGAAGGGCCATAATCGACGGGGTTGAAAAGAATCTGAAGCTGGAGAATGAAGATGGAGAAGCTTCAAGGATGACACTTTATAGATTTGGTAACACTTCGTCTTCATCAGTCTGGTATGAACTTTCTTATCTAGAAGCAAAGGGCAAGGTGAAGAAGGGAGACAGGATTTGGCAGATTTCTTTCGGGAGTGGGTTCAAGTGTAACAGCGCAGTTTGGAAATCCCTTGCAAATGTTGATCCTGAAAGGAAAAATGCATGGTCAGACAGAATTCATATGTATCCTGTCCAGATGCCAGATTTTTCATAGCTCATAGATAAAACTCAAGGGATAACAGTGATTGTAATTCACACAAACATTCACCTAGTTAATGTGCCACCAAATGTACAGACCATATGATAAGTGTTAAAGCTATATCATAGTCCTTAGTCCTTACCAACTTTGTTTATCGCGCACCATAGCAGTTTTCCTTTAGTGTCAACTCACTTATCCATCAGCTAAGACTTCACAGATTTTGACAACTGCCGTTGCTTGGACAAGATCTCACCAATAAGATGGCGACCAAACAGATGAGAATTCTTAAGAATGACATTTCTTGTGGACGAGTTTACAGCATAGCCTTGTCCGGGCATCCATTTCAGTAAGTGGATAAGTAGGTCTTTCTTTTCAGGTTCTGCAATATATCGCGATATAGCCGTTTCAAATAGTCCCTGCAAAATTAAAAACTTCAAGTCAAACTTGTAACGCGGTTTAATAGAGATTCTCTATGCTATAGCTATTTTAAGATACAATAGTCCAGGAGACTGGGAAAAATGAAAGATTGACATAATAGAACTTACCTCATCTTTTGCATAACCCAAGGATTCCAATTGAGACAATAGCTCCCTGGACTTCTTAAACAAGCCTCCTCTCATGTACACCTTTAGTAATGTTGTTAATATTACCTGCCTACGATTTCAATAAAATAATCAGGAACAACTGTTTGCACTACAACCCATGAAGCAGAGACCTATAGGGATATTATCTTGTAGCACACCAAAGGACAAAATATGATGGATCACAAGCATGCCAATTGTGTGCTTTTAACAGAAAGAAGCACAAAGAAAAGCTAATATCACTCTGAAAGCTAGTTGAAATGGTTGGATAAATAGGAGAACAACCTAAATTGGTTCAAGCCCTGAAGATTACATATCTTGAACCAGCCCCTCAGCTTTCTTGTAGTCTCCGCCTGAAGAGTAGGCATTCATTAAATAGCTGTAGTGAAACTCATTAGGTGAATGACCCTCAGCTTTCATCTGGTTGAAATAGCTTTCTGCTTCTTCACATCGATTATTTGAAGCACACACAGCCAGTAGCGTCCCATACATTACACATTTACACTGTCCATCTTCAACCCTCTAAAATTCAGTTCCTGAACCAGATCCAATGCTGTATCGTAGCTATCTTTCACTTTGATACAACCTGCTAGAAACTGAGAAGGGAAAAATAGAAAGCAATCAAGATGATATCGGAAATGCAAAAAGTTCAAGGTTCAGAAATATTTCATGCATCAGAGGCACTAAGACAAAGTATGTATAGTCTATAGATGAACATCTCTACCATTCCAAGAAATCTTATAGTAATAGCAGCAAACAAACACAGAGTTTATGTTGGTAGGAGTATACAATAACAGAATTCCAAATAGAAGACAGGTGCCAGGAATGCAGTATTGACATATTGAACCGGCACACAATCAACGTATTGATTCTAAATATTGGCCCATTATCTACTGTAGGTGCCAAGTAAGCAGTATTGGTTATACTGAACCAGCCCACAATCTAGGGTATGGATTTGTAGAATATTGGCTCATAATCTACTACAGTGAATAAGATTCTGGCTGCATCATTTCCTTAATACCAGTAATTTATGTTGCACTGGGTTTCGGCACTTGGAACTTACTGCGGTATATGTGATGGCATCAGGTGTTAAACCACTGTGCTTCATCTCATGGAACAACTTGATGCTGCTGTCGAACTTGCCACTCCTAACTAGGCAACTAAGACCAGAATTGCACACGATGACATTACTCTTTGTTGATTCATCTGGTATCCCTCTATAGATTTCCAATGCCTTCGTGAGGTTAAGACTTTTTCCCATGAACTTGATGCAATTGCTATAGGACGCAACAGAAACCTTCCCCTGCTTTTCCATCCAATCGAACAGCTGCATCAAACCCCAAAAGTTAAAATGAGTGACAGGAACAAATGAAAGGAATAATCAGTAAGCTTTTGTTCATCAAGGTTTTTTTAGCTCCGGCACCAGAGAAAGGTCTCTCCATCTGTTTTGGTTTCCCAGACTCCGTAAAATGATTCAAGTCTTGCACCTTCAAAACCCCTCTTAATCTGCGAGATTTAGCAAGGAAACTCTTTCAAAACCATTCAGTAGCCCGAAATTGAACTGTTCCGCACCGTCACTTACTCCAATTCAAGAGCTTTTTGAACAGATAGAACTGACCTTTGGAGAGCAGATTCCAAGTCGACGGATTTTTCAACCTCAACGACGGCGGATTGTCTGGCCGAGTAGGAACTCGACTCGCGCCTCCGAGAATTGGAGAGCTTGACCTTACGAATGCTCAACGGCGGCGGCGGCCGCCCGGATTCTTCGACGGGTGAAGCGGTTCCCGCGGCGATGATGTGGAGAGAACTCTTCTGCAAATCCAAGCGGCTGTGGATGCCGACGGAATGTAATGGAAAGACGAAGGCGTTGAAGGCCTGTAGACCTGGCCAACGCCCAAGAATGCAGCTGAAATCTCCATCGCTAAGGAAGCAAGGGGGAGGAAGAGATAGCTACGAGGCAGGAGATTTTGCGGGAAGTTCAGTATAGATAGGAACAACAAGAGGTGGAGTATTTTCGATTAGATACCCTAAATATGTTGATGTCTATTTATGGTCCTCTGCTCATAATGTTTTAACAGCTTACTCCTCTTACTTCTCCAAACTGTTCTTATGCATGGTTCGATTAGGCACGACATTTCATTGATCTCTCCAACGAGAATTTCTTCAGTGCACCCGGTGCACCACGTGGGCTGTGCACCGTCCCAATGAATGACTGACATGTGTTAATTAAAAATGTTAAAATAAATTAAAAAGAAATGCTGGTTAATTGTTTGTTCATACCGTCGGAGTGTCGGGCTCCTCTCCCGACGGTGCTGTAAGATATCCTTTGGTGGTGCGGAGTCGAATCAGCGACGGAAGATACTCTCTCAGCCGCCATCCTTTCGCCAGCCTACTGAGTTAGATCGACGGAGGGAAGAATTGAACTGGCCTGAAATTGTGCGGCTACGATTTCACATTTTTTGCTCCCGGCACTCGGCAGGCGGCACCACCTCTTCCCGCTGGTAGTTCTAGAACAACGCTCCAATGAAGGTGGTGAAGAAATTCATTGGGACGGTGCACAGCCCACGTGGTGCACCGGGTGCACTGAAGAAATTCTCCTCTCCAACAAATATAGCCAAGAGAAGAACAAATCTGAATATCACTAAAAGATCACTAAAAGATGAAATCTTAACCCAAGAAGAAAGCTCGAGTATTTTAGCCAAAGATAATATAAGGAAGGTGACAATGAAGAGAATCAAATAACATAATCGATTATAATCACACACATAGTTCATATTCAACCGAACTATCAATACTTAATTTCGAAAAAAATAGTAATGGAATAGACTTGAAAATACTTCGTAAAATCTGACATCTCCCTGTGAACTCTTTCATTACCCTCTAGAATAATAAATTTGATCACCTAAAGATAAATCTGTTCGTGTAGAAACACAATTGCACTATTGCAGAGTCTTGATTCGAATCTCTCATCAATAAATTACTCCGGGCTCAGACTTCAGTGGGACCATCTCAATTGGTGGGAGCTGGCGAGCAACGGTCACAGAAGCAACCTCTGGGCCATAAAAATTGAAACTCTGCATATTTTAGCATATCATATGAACAGAGAAACAAAAAATCCATAAACAATTTAACGATGAGATCAAATTACTAAACGGGCTCAATGTTGGCATCAACTGTGATAAGCAAGGAAAGAAGCCACACCGAAAACAGCCACGTGGGTTGCGAATCCTTTGAGCTGTCGTGAGCCCTGGGTCCTCTGTCTCCCCCGCTGGCTCTCTCTCTCTCTCTCTCTCTTGCTTTGCTGTGTCTTTCTCTTCTCTCTCTGTGAGCTTTCACTTGGCATGTTAAGGAGGGAAGTCACCAAAATTCTTATTCTTCGTGCATGGGCAGCTCACAAGTCACACCCTTTTGAATTTATTGCTGTATCTGGCAAAAAGGGTGACACAATTGAAAGAATTGCTTCCTTAAATTTCCTATTTTTTCGTGTATTTTGCTGGTAGAGGTAGAGAGAGAGAGGGGGCAGAGAGGAGAGAGAGAGAACTGCCAGATTTGCAGCTCCTGAGGATCTGTAAATTGCGGAGAACAGGTCAAGCTACAAGCTTTTCTCCAGGTATCGGTGAAAGTGAAGGAAAAAGCAGTTCCCTTTGGGGTTTTTGGGGGGGCTATACGTCAGGGAACCTCTGCCTTTGGGATGGATTGAGTGAGTCTCTGGCTTCTGGGTTGCCTCAAAGGTGAGTTTCCTTCAATGCTTTACTTGTATTGTGGAGGGCGGGACTAGAATTGAATTGGGTGCTTAACTTGTTCCGGGATGTAAAGGCTGGTTTTTGTCTATGATTAGTGTTTCTATTTTCTGCTTCCATTCAGTCAATTCCTCCAAAGTTCTCCTGATGCAATAGGGATTTGAAATAACTAGGGAAATCTTGGCTAATGGCAGCAAAACTATAGAAGCATTTTGTTGATTATGCATTTGGTCTGGGTGAATCTTAAGTTTATAACAGAGCTACTAGCTACTCTATCAATTTGATTATATCTTTCAAGAGGGAGAAAGGATCAATTTGTTTAGTTTCTCAGTGGGGTCTTTCTATATCCCAGCATCAAACACCTATTGCTTTGTGAAAACGCAGAAAATTTTATATCCATGAGGCTTTGAGGAAATGACTCCATGAGGAATCAAGTCACTGTTGCAGAAACTTTGGTGTAGTTGTTACGGCATGTTGTTATTCCAGCATTCTTTTTTGGTTCTTGACAAAAATGTATTTTCCAGGTAGAACTGGGGCTGCAAATGGTGGGCTTGGGACAACTGTTCTTAGAAGAAAATCAAAGGTTCCATTTCATTTGATTCAACCTTTAAGAACGTCTTGCTGTATGTACACTTGTTTTTTTTTCTTTTTTCTTTCTATTTCATTCAGGAACGTTATCTTTTCCTGCCAGGATTAATAAGAAGGTCTTGTCCAATGGAGATGTCTATGTTGGCGACTTTAAGGGAGAACTTCCCCATGGAAAAGGTAAATATTTGTGGTCAGATGGCACTGTCTATGATGGAGAATGGGAAGGGGGTAAGATGACTGGAAAAGGACATATATCATGGGCCGCAGGAGCCAAATATGAAGGTGAATTTTCTGGTGGTTATGTTCACGGCTTTGGCACCTTCACTCGTCCTGATGGATCTGAATATCGAGGTTCCTGGAGGATGAATATACAGCATGGGCTTGGTACGAAACAGTACTCCAATTTGGATGTTTATGAAGGTTGTTGGAAGGAAGGTGTACATGAAGGTAACGGTAGGTACTCTTGGAGTAATGGCAATGTCTATGTGGGGAATTGGAAAGGCGGAATCATGAATGGTAGAGGAATCATGAAATGGATCAGTGGTGATATCTTTGATGGCTCTTGGTCAAATGGCCTGAGGCATGGGTCTGGGGTTTATAGGTTTTCAGATGGGGGTTTCTACTTTGGAACATGGACCAAAGGTTTGAAGGATGGGAAAGGGACATACTATCCCGCTGGAACGAAACACCCCTCTCTAAAGAGATGGTGTAGATCGCTTGGTTATGATGATGTTTCAAGTAGCTTTGAGTCCCGTGATGCTTCAATATTGAATTCAGTAGAAGTTGAGGCTCAAAGAACAAGCATTAGGCGCAGTGTCTCGGAATTGTCAGGTAGTGGAAGTTTAAGAGGTTCAGGAAGGATAATGCAGAGAACAGCATCAATAGACAGAAGTTCAAGCCGTGGTCATTCTGCCAGAGAGTTGATATTTAATAATGACTTATCAAGTGCGCTGTCTCACATCTCAGATGATGCTCACAGCGTGGTGCTAGACACTGATAGAATAGCTTATGAACGAGAATACATGCAAGGCGTTTTGATCAAAGAGAGGATTGTAACTGCAGAGCGGTCACGGAAGACTAAGCATAAAAACAAATTCCATGCCAAAGAAGCGAAAACGAACTCGTGGATGAATATTTTCCAGAGCCGTCAGAGCTATTATCTAATGCTTAATTTGCAACTTGGTATCAGGTACCTATCCAATGCTGAACCCCTTTCGATTGTTTATTATGCAATTCATGTCTGCTTTGCTCTTTGCCCTGTTGGTGGGAGATTGAGTTTTCAAGCAGATCCTTTCATTCATAGGGTTCTTTTGGTTATTGTTGATATTCTGCCATCTAGTTGTACAAAGCCTATGTTGAAATAGGCTTTTGGAGCCATTTTGAGATGTTTAATGCATATTCGCTCGTCTTTTTCTTTTGGGTGAATATGGTATGAGTGACAGGATATGCAGTATTTTCTGTACCTTGTCATGTTCTTTTTTGGTGCACATCTAATTGTAGCATTTACATCCCTAGAGGTCCAACGTTGCCCTAGGGTTTTAAACTAAATGCTTCAGCTTTCATTACAGTCTACTACGTGGACCTGTTGCTGTTGTATTTGCTTTATATCTTTGTTCTATAGTCAGTCCAATGTTTGCTCTCTTTGGCAGAGCTCAACTATAATGTTCATGAGTTTGAATTTTTGCAGTGCCAGTACCTGCTCTGTGTCTTCTGATCTTAAAACTGTTTTACCATAAAAGTTGTTGAATGTGTTCTGGGACATCAAACATGCTTGTTGATCAGTTAATTCTGAAGTTCACAGGTATACTGTGGGAAAGATCACACCAGTTCCCATGCGTGAAGTTCGTCCTTCTGATTTTGGAGAGCGAGCTAGAATAAGGATGTATTTTCCTAAAAAAGGATCCCAGTTCACCCCACCTCACTACTCTGTTGATTTCTATTGGAAAGATTACTGTCCCATGGTCTTCAGGTAATTGTCTATTCGTTCCATCTTTGTTTGGAAATGGATATACTACTGGCTTGAGTTCCTGTCAATGATCAGACTTGAGGCCATAAAGATCATGAATGTTGTTATCATTGCGAGATATTCATAAGGTTTCGGTTGTTGTCACTTGAGTAGAGGGTAGGAACCTCAGTGATCTGTATATAAGTGGTCTGCTGCATCATAAGAAGCTGCTGCTAACTTGTATTGGGAGTGGTCAGTGGAGCCTTTTCTACATTTCCCTAACATGTTTAGAACCATGATTGAACATATCATAGGATTTACTTGACTATTACCTTCTTCCTCGTCCTTCTCCGCTTCTCAGATTAAATTATTTTCAGTTTTTGAAGAATTTTACACGCCATGTTAATAAGAGTGACTTCCCCCCTACATGTTCTTAACCCTTTTTTTACCAGTAATCTACTACATATTCTTAACCTTTTTTTTTTTTTTTTTATAAGTATTCTACTGTTTCTCTTATCGTCGATGCTTAATGTATTCTCTACGTCTCTTTTCATTTTTCCATTCATGCACACGATTGTCTATTATGTTTTCTGCTGGACTTGCATGAATTTATATGTATGATCATATCATTTGAGGTCTTTCTCCTTTTACGTCTGATGCAACTTTCAGGAATTTAAGAGAGATGTTCAAATTAGATGCAGCTGAGTACATGATGTCTATTTGTGGTGATGATGGTCTGACAGAGCTTGCTTCACCCGGGAAAAGTGGCAGTCTCTTCTATCTTTCTCATGATGATAGATTTGTGATCAAGACGTTAAAGAAGGCCGAGCTCAAGGTTCGACTCTAGATGTTACTTCTCTATGCTGTTTTGTCAGGTCAAAGCACCTAGTCGCCTCCCTGCTTAATGTGTCACAGTTCCTCCTAAATAGCTAACCTGCCTTGACTTTGAAGTATTTTAGTTGAATAACTTTCTTGATTTGAACTGTGTTGAGTTACCAGATTTGTCTAGATAAATATGTCATTATCTCTGAATAGTTGGCCCTTTCTATTGTGGTTTACTGATTTTATGATTTTCTTCACGTTAGGTTTGTCGTTGCACTTAACTCTTGCTTGGTGTGATATGTGAAGAAAAAGGTCACAGAAAATTGCAAATTAGTAATTACCAGAATTCCATTTTCTTCTCTGCAGTCCCTTCTCAGGATGTTGCCAAAATATTACTGTCATGTAGGCAAGCATGAAAATACTCTCATAACGAAGTTCTTCGGGGTTCATCGAATAACATTAAGAGGTGGACGAAAGGTAACTCAACTTCTTTTTTTTATGTAGCCTTCAAAGAATTTGCAGTATCTATAGTTAATCAGGGTTTTTTGTCTCATCGTTTCTGTTTCTAGGTACGGTTTGTGGTCATGGGTAATATGTTTTGCACAGAATTGAGAATCCATCGTCGTTATGATCTGAAGGGCTCATCTCATGGAAGATACACAGATAAAGATAAGATCAAAGAGGGTACCACATTAAAGGACCTCGATCTAGATTATGAATTTCACATGGACAAATTATTGAGAGAGTCACTCTTCAAGTAAACTTCTCCTTTTGAGATAGCATTTTTTTCTGTTGATCCTGCTATTCATTAGAATCCTTAGTCATTCAGTTATGAGTAGAATTCATTTTCTCTTGCAGACAACTTCATCTGGACTCCAAGTTCCTAGAATCTCAGAACATAATTGATTATAGCCTTCTCTTGGGGTTGCATTTCAGAGCACCAGAGCAGCTGAAGGCCGTTTTAGAGCCTCCTGGTGCCACAACCAATCATGATAGTTTTTCTTCAGATGATGGTATGCTTGCATGCCCTCAAACATAGAATCCTTTTGTGGCCTACATACATCATAATAGAACTAAGATCCTACTATCTACCGACATGTTTCAAACGGATTGATACTCGTGAATTTTCTGTTCTTCTTTGTATGGATGATAGTCATGTATTTGAATAATGAACTTGTAGCTAAGTGTTCTATTGCCTACAGTTGGTGTGAGCTCTCAAGGGGAGCCCTTGATACCGCCAACCGGATTGATCTTGGTCACTCATGAACCTAGTTCTGTCAACACGGCACCTGGTCCTCACATCAGAGGTAGCACGCTGAGAGCTTATTCTGTTGGTGAGCGGGAAGTCGACCTGTTACTGCCCGGGACTGCAAGGTACCTTCATTACCAACCACTAAATATCATCATCCAAACTCGGATAGCTCAACTTTTTCCCACAAACCACTTATATCGCAAAGCTGTTAGTTGCTAAACGTACTCTGGAAGTCTTTTTCGTTTGCAGGTTACGGGTTCAGCTAGGGGTGAACATGCCAGCTCAGGCGAGTCACAAGCTGCTGCAAGAAGAGGGCGGTCCCACGGAGGTTGAACTCTTCGAGGTCTATGACGTGGTTCTGTACATGGGAGTAATCGACATATTGCAGGAGTACAACGCTAGGAAGAAAGCCGAGAATGCTTACAAATCACTCAAGTTCAACCCCCTAACGATTTCTGTCGTCGAGCCAAAGCTATACGCTCAGCGGTTCCTCAGTTTCCTGCAGAAAGTGTTTCCGGAGCCTCCCTGAGAACTTATATCCAAAGCTGCGTATGTGGTGTAGCTCTCCATCTTTTGTTCAGGTAATTGTCGGTGATGATGAATTCTAGCCCGGCTCTCGAATCTCTTTTGATTTCTGAGATGGAAGTCTCTTTGCAACTTTTGTAGGAGAAAGGTGCATTCATAATTTCTTTTCTATAGGGAGTACAGTAACAGTGTCGATTTTTGTACAGTAGTAATATTCATTTGGCCTATAAAAATGCATGCACCATGATTTTTTTTTTAATCGACGTAGAAATAACTTTATTTAACTTGTCATTTCGCGGCGTACGAAACTTTTAGCTAAAAACACAGTATCGTTGAGTACATCTCTATCGTTCTCCTCCAATCGTCAAACCAGTCTTGCAATGTCTTTCTCCCTGCAGCTTGAGTGCTTGTTAAAAGCTAGGTCAGTCGCATGGATAATATCGAATCCTCGAAGTCTTCAGCCTCGTAAATCGAGAGATTTCATTCTCAATCATTGGCTTGATTCTCGTAAACGAGCCTCCTCCTTTCTTCGTGCAATTCTGACAAAAGGAAACACAAATCAAAGCATACGATTAATCAACGACGACCAACATTTTACTTGTCAGCTACGCATCAATTCTAGGGGTGAAAGAGTAGGAGATAAAGTACCACATCTTCGAAATATAAGTCGAGAGATTTCACGTTACGCAAACCCTGCAAAAATTTCACGGCTACTCGACTACACCATCCCAACTCGTTATACAAACCCGCATATGGATAGGACACCATGAGCACAGTAGCGCGATCGAGGGACGGAAGGTTCAACTCGGGGAGTTCTACAATATGACTGACATGAGTAGTGAAACAGAACGACTCGAGCTTCGGGGCCAACACTTGACTGACTGAAAACCCCCTCGAATTACGAATCTCCAGTCTCAGCAACTGGAGCCCGGTCACTTTGAATCCATCCGAGAACGACGAGAGAGTGCAATCGAGTAGCTTCAAGCATCTCAAAAGAGGGATGTTGGCAAAAGGATCGTGGCCGCGAGAAACCATCCACTCGCAACCACGCAGCTCCAGAGTGGTCAGCATTCTGCAGCCCGAAATCGAGCCGAGATCGACCCGGTAGCAATCGACCAGCTCGAGAGCCTCGAGAGCCTCGAGCGGGTTTTCGTCGAGCAAGATGCCTAGATCGTCTCGGTTATTCACTCTCGTGTATTTGGATGTGAAGCTGACCTTGTGGATGGTTGCGTGTTGTGACCGGAGGCGAAGAAAGTTGCGTACGAAATTTATGCCGCCTTGGATCGCGGAGAAGGAGTTCCGGTTGAGATTGAGGACGCCGACGTCTTTCCACAGGTCCCTCCACCTCTTCGAGAGCACGCTGGTTTGGACGACGAGTTTTGTGTCGTCGAGCGACGAGAGGATGTGATACAGAATGTCGTCCGAAAGATCGCTCACTCGATCATCTTTTGCTTCTGCGCCGTCGTCGTCACGTCTCGTTTTTCGAGACATAACGGACACAAAAGGTGAATCAAACTGTCTTCCGCCGGAAGCGGCTGATTCGGCGACGGTTTGCTGGCTAAGTTTTGAGTTCTGACTACGAAACCCTAATCCTAGTTCTTGCAATAAGGTAGAGGAAAAGAGCTAAACTTGCTTGCTCGGGGATTTGAGAAGTATTTACGTAGAAGGGAAGAAAGTGGGCTCAATAGGCCCAATAGGATTAAGGCTTGGGTTGGTTCGCGGAATATATATATATATATCAATACCCTAGTCCACCAAATCAACATATATATTTTTCTTCACTAAAAATTTATTTACATTTTGTTTATTATTAATAATAAACCATTCATACTTTACAAGTGTATAATCTTTATGAATATAACATCCTTTATATGTTGCTAAGATTATTATCTTACCCTTTAATTCAACCTCCAAAACCTTCATGGCCGACTCAATGTTGCACCAAGCGTTGATCGTTTTAAACATCACATAGATTGATGAGACAAGTCTGTCATATAACTGACAAATACGATTTCGTATCTCACATCCCTATCAGATACGTCTGTTCAATGTTAAGATATCACATTGCTAGCTAGTAGTTCATGTCTTCGGTTTAGCCTAGTCACTCATTTTACATTCAATTAATAACAAATATTAGTATGTAATTTAGCATTCCTGCCTAGCTCTTATCAGACAATTGTCTCAATCAGGCGGCCATTTGTGAGGGTTATCGTTATCCGAACTGAAACTAGAAACTCTTTGTCCTTTGAAAATCGAACTCGAAATCGACAAGAGATTTTTTGTTTTCAATTCTCGTTCGGTTAAAGTAAAACCAAAACTCCCTTACCGGTTCTGGGTTCGGTTAAAGTAAAATCGGAACCCAAAAAATCGAAACTATGGGATCTGAAAAGTTGCTATGACCTTAGTTTTTTTCAGTGAATCCGAAACCGATAAGAAAAACCAAAAATCGAGAACTCAACACTGAAATTAAACAAACTCGAAACTGAAAACCCCGATAATGTATATAACCGGTTCGGTTTCTAAAATGAATAACCGAACCCGATTCGACAACCCTATTTGTGAGTTGTGACTATCAATACCGTTATTGGAGTAAGTTGAAACCAAGAGAAGGAATGAATGTCTAAACCCAAATTATGAAGGGAAAAAAAAACATTTCCTTCAGAGAAACAAATTTATTTAACTTGTCATTCTGCCGCATCTGAAATTTCAACAAATTAAAATGCATAATACCATTTAGTACATCTCAATCATTCTCAAGAACCAATCGTGAAAACCAATCCACACTAATTCCATGCTTGATGGTTTGCAATGTCTTTTTCTCCCTTGTCAGTCGTGGCACGGATAGCATTGAATTGACCAGTTATGCAGCCTTGTAAATCGAGCGAATTCATTCTCAATCATCGACTTCATTCTCGTAAACGGGGAGCCCCCTCCTTTGATGAAATGCTAAAAAAAAAAAAAAAAACACAACCAAAGCATACAATCAATTAACAACCAACAATTTTTTTTTTTTACTAATCCGTTACGTTAAATTTAGAATAAAAGAGCAAAAAGGCAAGTAATTGGAGTTCAATTTGAGAAACATGGACGCTAGTCGAGTCCAGAGGCCTTTACCACGTTAAATTAGGTATGTTTGTCTACAAAGGCAAGTAATTGGATGAAAGATTGGATATCTTTAAGGCTTCAAACAAAAGGCTCGAAGTTGCTACGAAGACTGTTTTTCTGACAGCTTGCTTGTGCTCGAAGTCTGTCAGAAAAACAGCATTCGTAGCAACTTCGACCCTTTTGTTTGAAGCCTTACAGATATCCAATCTTTCATCCAATGGCTTAAATTTGTATAAAAACATACCTAATTTAACGTGGTAGAGGCTCCTGGACTCACTCGCATTCATGCTTCTCAAATTGAGCTCCAATGTACGCTTCGCAAACATGTTTCCAGACTTAGCCATTTTCAGGCAGTTTTCTAGTTTTGGCATAGCCTTTTGATCAGGTTGAAAAATGGTCTTCTGAACTTCCTATCGAGCTCTCAATCACTTCAATATGTAGAGGAACACTCCAACTTCAAAACAAGCCATTAATCTTCAATTTCCATCTAGCAAATTGTATGATATGAATATCCAAAGAAGGCACCATGAAAATGTTTTTACACTGAAACAACAGATTAAGTCGACCTAATCCTAATGAGGTCGACCTAATCGTAAATGAGGTTGACCTGATCCTAATGAGGTCGACCTAATTCTAACTGAGGTCGACCGAAAAGTGCAAGTCACCGTGACATGTATGTCACCGTGACATGTATGTCACCCAAAATTCATGCACCATGATTTTTTTTTAAATTTACGTAGAAATAACTTTATTTAACTTATCATTTCGCGGCGTACGAAACTTTTAGCTAAAAACACAGTATCGGTGAGTACATCTCTATCGTTCTCCTCCGATCGTCAAACCATGCTTGAAGTCTTGCAAAGTCTTTCTCCCTGCAGCTTGAGTGCTTGTTAAGCTAGAGGTCAGTCGCATGGATGATATCGAATCCTCGAAGTCTTTAGCTTCGTAAATCGAGAGATTTCATTCTCAATCATTGGCTTGATTCTCGTAAACGAGCCTCCTCCTTTCTTCGTGCAATTCTGACAAAGGAAACACAAATCAAAGCATACGATTAATCAACGACGACCAACATTTTACTTGTCAGCTACGCGTCAATTCTAGGAGTGAAAGAGTACGAGAGATAAAGTACCACATCTTCGAAATATAAGTCGAGAGATTTCACATTACGCAAACCCTGCAAAAAATTCACCGCTACTCGACTACACCATCCCAACTCGTTATACAAACCCGCATCTGGATAGGACACCATGCTCACAGTAGCGCGATCTAAAGACGGAAGGTTCAACTCGGGGAGTTCTACCATATGACTGACATGAGTAGTGAAACAGAACGATTCGAGCTTCGGAGCCAACACTTGACTGACTGAAAACCACCTCGAAGAACGAATCTCCAGTCTCAGCAACTGGAGCCCGGTCACTTTGAATCGATGCGAGGACGACCACAAACTACAATCGAGCAACTTCAAGCATCTCAAAAGAGGGATGTTGGCAAAAGGATCGTCGTCGTGGCCGCGAGAAACCATCCCCTCGCAGCCACGCAGCTCCAGAGTGGTCAGCATTCTGCAGCCGCCCGAAATCGAGCCGAGATCGACCCGGTCGCAATCGACCAGCTCGAGAGCCTCGAGGGACGATTCCCGATGCTTGGTTCGACCAGCTGCGTGATCCAGGACCATCTCGAGCGGTTCGTCGTCGAGCAAGATGCCTAGATCGTCTCGGTTCTTCCCTCTCGCGTAGTTGGATGTCAAGCTGACCTTGTCGATGGTTGCCTGTTGTGACCGGAGGTGAAGAAATTTGCGTACGAAATTTATGCCACCTTGGATCGCGGAGGAGTTCTGGTTGAGATTGAGGACGCCGACGTCTTTCCACAGGTCCCTCCACCTCTTTGACAGCACGCTGGTTTGGACGACGAGTTTTGTGTCGTCGAGCGACGAGAGGATGTGATACAGAATGTCGTCCGAAAGATCGCTCACTCGATCATCTTTTACTTCTGCGCCGTCGTCGTCACGTCTCGTTTTTCGAGACATAACGGACACAAAAGGTGAATCAAACTGTCCCGATGAGAAATTGGCGGCGACGGTTTTGCTGGCTAAGTTCTGACTATGAAACCCTAATCCTAGTTCTTGCAATAAGGTAGAAGAAAAGAGCTGTACTTGCTTGCTCGGGGATTTGAGAAGTATTTAAGTAGAAGGGGAAGAAAGTGGACTCAATAGGCCCAATAGGATTAAGGCTTGGGTTGGTTCCCGGAATATATACCAATACCCTAGCCCACCGAATCAACATATATATTTTTCTTCACTAAAAATTTATTTAAATTTTGTTTATTATTAATAATAATCCATTCATACTTTACAAGTGTAGAATCTTAATGTATAGCATCCTATATATGTTGCTAAAGAGTATTATCTTACCCTTTAATTCAACCTCCAAAACCTTCATGGCCGACTCGTGTTGCATCAAGCGTTGATCGTTTTAAACATCACATAGTTTGATGAGACAAATCCGTCATATAACTGACAAATACGATTTCGTATCTCACGTCCCTATCAGATACGTCTGTTCAATGTTAAGATATCACATTGCTAACTAGTAGTTCATGTCTTAGGTTTAGCTTAGTTACTCATTTTACATTATTATGACGGTTTATGAATCTCAATTGATACTACATATTAGTGTGTAAATTAGCACCCTACCTAGATCTTATCATACAATCGTCTCGATCAGGCGGCATTTGTGAGGGGTGTCGGTACCCGAACCGAAACCCGAAACTCTTTATCCTTTGAAAAATCAAACTCGAAATCGACAAGAGATTTTTTATTTTCAATTCGCGTTCGGTTGAAGTAAAACCAAAACTCC